TCTGTGCCCCCCCTCCCCCCCCCCCCCCCCCCCCCAAGAAAAAAGTTGGCTATTTTCAACCAAATTTGGTAGAGACAGAGGTCTGAAAAGCTAAATAAGCACCTGTACGTTAAGGGTCGATCTCCAGTGGGAGATCAACGGGGGTTTGAACGTTGACAAGCTTCATTCACAACTCTCCCATCAGCCTCTCCCTTCAGTTGGATGCAGCAGTGCCAAGTGCCTGCCGAAAGCGCTGCGGGAGGAGTTGTAGGGGGGGGAGGGGGCTAAAGAAATCAGCCTGCTTAGGCCCAGGATTTTAGGGGCTGACTCTAGCGTGTGCCAGCTGGGAGGTGTGCCCGGAGCTGAAGGTAGCAACTTGCCTGTGGCTGTCTAATCCGGGTTTGCAGAGAGTTTCGGAGGAAAGAGAAGCAGTAAATTATCTTGGCTTAGTATTTGAAGTGTTCACCTCCAGATGAGTTGTTGGTGCCTGACGGAGTGCATGTACAGTACTTGATTCCATGGATGCGATATTATTACAGGTACAGCAGCAGCTCATGATGCCCCGTAAAGCTTTTCTTTCCCAGAAAGAAAAGCAGGCTCGTGCCAGGGAAAGGGATATGTTAAAAAAGAGGAGGAGGCGACAAGACTATCTCAAAAGAAGCGTGGAGCCGCAGAAAAATGCAGAAACAATAAAATGGCACAGGGATGATGAGAAGAGGAGAGAAAATGAGCAAGTTAAGGACAAAGATATCAAGAAGCGATGGAGACAGGAGACAGAGCGACGGAAGAATGTGGACGCTATGAATTGGCGCAGGGAAGATGAGAAGAGGGAAAATGAGCGAGGTAAGGACCAAAGAGGCCAAGAACCAGCAGAGAAAGCATAAGGGGGAAAGAGCGATGAAAGGATGGACCTTTTGGAGCAGCAGAGGGGTGATGAGGGGGAGAAGGGAAAAGAGTAAGAACAATTCCATTTTATAAACTTGGGCAGAAGTAACAAAATATTAGTATCTTTTTGTTTTGAATTTATAGGAAATCTGCTTTAATGAATTACAGTTCTTGCAGAGGTAATGATTTTAATAGACAAGATTGATCTGAATAGAGATGTATCCAAACTCGGAGTCACAACGGGGTAGAAAAGGCTGGGTCTACACGTTGCTTATGACATTGTTTTGCACACATGCTCACAGCCAATACTCTTTGACAGGAATAAGGTTGTGCTTCAGATCTCCAGAAGGTTCAGGTTTTCTCAGTCTTAATCCATGTAAATGGCAGCCTTAGGAAAGGAAGGGTCAACCGAATGTGCCTGTAAAAACCCTTGGAAAGTTGCTTTTTTATTGCATTTTCTATAGGACTTCTTTTATCTGGAGTTACAGGGTTTTTTTGTGGTAGCCCTGAAATGTCGGTTGTAGGTTTATGAACTGGCTGTGGATTTCTGCTGGCTGAGAGTCTAGTCCTTTCAAAGTTCTGGTCTGACTTTAGAAATTTCGAGCCCATAAAGGCGGGGGTGCCTTTGCAAACACTGACCATAGGTTGCTGCCCTCTTCACAGCTGGGGATGCTGGGCCGCTTCGCCTACAGCGTGTTCACAGGGAGCACCGGGGGAGAGGGGCCCTCGCACTTAACCTTCGGTGCCTCTTCTTGGCAGTAGTAAAGAACTAGCTGTCTGGGAATGAGAAACTGATTCGTGTTTGGTTTAGGATTAAAGATCTAAACTTCTTTTTACTCCATGAAAGTGTTTTGGCACCCCGGTTTTGACTGACAGTTACGATGAGACAGTCTGGAAGGAGGTAGCTGCAATACCAGCAGAGAGTTGTGTAATTAATAAGGCATCTAACTCCTACGTGGCTGTGTACTGAGTGTGGCTGAGTGATTTTATTTCTCTACAAAACCAAAGTGCTCAACAAACTCAGTATGCATAAAGCTGTGCTTTTTAGTGCCAATCCTTTCAATTGAGCCAAAAAAATAGAGTGTTTAAGGGGTAGGGCGAGGGGTAAACATTGCTTATTATGAATAACTCATATGTATAATTTCATTATGTACTCAGTATGCTCTCAAAACGAGGTACCAGCTTTCCACCTCTCAGGTTCCTGTGAGGTTCCCATTGTAGGCCTGGGAAGCATCAGCTGGCAAAATAAATTGTACATCAAAAGAATTGATAAATGCATGTAAAAAAAATTGCTTCCAGGAGCCTCACTTTTATTTCCATAAATTTCTCTCTTTATTCTGAATTTTCAGTTGGTACTCGCTAGGAAAGTATGATTTTTGTAGTTTTCTTCTTAATTGGCTGCTGTTTCTTGTGTTCTCAGCTCGGTGAACTTAGAACTGTGTTCATTAAATTTCCAAAAGAAAACAAATGGAACAGCCAGATAGTAACTTTCCAACTATTCCTCTAGTATCATTAGCCATGTTGACATCATACTTCTCTTGTATGAGGGGAAAAAAGAAGTACAATCCACAGCACCATGCATTCCACTGGCTTGGTTCCGCTAGCAGACCGGTACTTCAGAAGAACTGGTGGCCACTGGAAAGAGCGCTAGGATACCTCGCCTGCTCACCCTGGGCTGAGAGGCCAGTAGGGGAAACACAGGCACTAGGGGGTTTTGTTTATAGCTTTTGGGGATCCCATAACTGGTGTTTACTTGCCGTTTCACGGTGATGCTCCTCACAAACCTTGTTGAGTGAAGACATCTTCCTCAGTGAAACGTTCAGGGTCGCCTACCATTGTGTGCTTGCTGGCCGTGGAAGGCTTTTCTGATGGCGTAAGGAAATGGTGTGTTTTCAGTGAAGCATAAAGAGAAGAAAACCTAGACTAGTGCTGTCTTGCTTTCTTTGCACAGCAAGGTTTTCCTCCAGATCATTTCTTTAGGCCTCTGAACTATCTCTGGATGAAAACCATCATCTTAGTAACAAGGCTGACATCAGAAATACACTTGCTGCTTGTTAGAACGAAAGTAACTAAAGCTCAAACGTGAAACGAGCACAGCAAGTGCTTTGAATAATATTGTCCAAAAATGACAGTAAGGTGATGAGGCAGATTTGGAATATTTACTGAAGATTTTCGCTGAGAGGAAAAGGCTGTCTTGTTCTGCAACTGCTGCATCTGCCCCAGAATCAGAATAGCAGTTACCTCGTGGGGCCTTTGTTCACCGTGGCACTATAGAACTCTAAAAGAGGTGTGCGGTGTGGTGTTTTATGTGAATTGATTTTCCAAGTAATTATACAGTAATCTTTTTTAACTCATGCTTTGACTCGGTTTTCTAGGTGGTTCCAGGCCCTCGGTAATGGATGTGTTGGTCCAAGGGCGGAACTGCGTGGCCGTGTTCACCTGGGGCTAGTACAGTGGGGGTGGCTTATTCTTAATAAATACTAAATATGGTTTAAAAATCACTCTTGAGTAACATAACAGGAGGATGTGTCAGGCTCCACATTCGGGATGGTTTCATGGTTTTTAGGGTTTGGTTTTTTTTTTTAGTGTTTCCATCTGGAATTTGAAGTGCTTAAGAGTAGCTGGTTGGCGAAGAGCTAATTCGGAACTGAAGGTCCCTGCAAGTCTAAGTGCTAAAATATTTTTTTAAGTGCTAGGTGGAAGAATTTGGGGTTTGTTGAACTTCTCTGTGACTACACAGTGGTTAATTTTTGGGCTACACCTTGTTTCCTTTCTGCTTTTTTGTCATGCCATAAAAAATAGAAGTCTTGATTTCCTGTGTCTTAAGGTATTTGCACTGTTAAGTTGCTAAAACGAAGCAGAAATCTGCTCTAGTCATGGGGGTCTGTCCCTCCCGCTCACTTGAACTCTTGGTTTTTTTCCTGAATATTGTTCACATTAGTGCTCCTGAGAACGTTTCAAGGTGTTACGCAATTTTTTTCCCCCTACTAGTATTTTCTTTTGCCAGCGATGGCTACGGTCAGGAGGTGGAGTGGAGAGAGGAAGCCCTTTGCTGTGAAGCAATATTAACCTTGAGGTGAGGTCCCTTTTTTACTACCATGGCGAACTTGAGTGCTTGGAAAACACTGAAGAAGCCTTTGATTTTAAACCAGTGAGGCACAGTGTTGTTGTCTCTTTTAGTTGCTTCCTGAATCTTGGACATAATTACTAATTTAAATCAGTCGGTCTGTGTTATGTCCTGGCCCATTGCCATTTCAAGATGTGATGCTGTTGAGTGATTGAACTGCAGGTTCCTGCAGACTTGTCAAACTTCTGAGGTCTTCATAGTCATTTTCTGCCCTGATTTTGAGGTTAAAAGGTGCACATACCCGAACTGCACTTGAGATTAAATTCTTCCTTCTGGGAGCCCTTGCAGCCTGTTAAAGCCAGAGAGTGCTTCAGTTCTCCAGCGCCCAGTACTGTGTACAACTTTGAGTTCTGTGACGTCTCCTAACTGCAGTTCCCCTGCTGACCTTGCAAATACCCTTTGCTTTTTCACAGAACCTCCCCTCCTGCCCCGCTTCAGATTTTTGGATGAAGATCTGCAAGTACTTCATTCGGGCCTTTTTGTCAACGTGTGTGCACTACCTGGGAAACCTGTTTTTGGCTTTTTGTCAGTGCACTGCATAGCGGCTGTTGCCCAGAGCAGTGAAATAGTACTGCATGAGGTTTGTCTAAAATAGGTGGTTGCATCTCCAGAATATGACTGAGATGAAAAGCCAAGTACAGTGTTTCTAATTTAGTAATGATATTTTGCTTTTTTTATAGCTTGCCTTTCCTTCTTACATGTGAATTATTCTAGAAACAAGTACCTGGCTAGACTAGACCTTTATGCTAGGTACTGCATAAATACAGAGCAGAAGCAGGTTTCTCTCATTTCTTACACAGGCTGCTTATTTTACCATTATTTTGTGACTGCTATGTCCAGACACTGCGTGTACAAGCACACTAACGACGAGTGAGATCTTACTAAATCAGCCTGGGTTAATAATCCATTTTCTTAAGCACCTGAAGATACCACCTGGGTATGTCTAGTAAAGACATTGTCGGTCTTGGTTTTAAGTAAGCGTTTGGTCTCTGCACCCAGCACTTCAGTGTAGATTGATGTGTAACAAGGGCTTCCCAGGGTATTTGTAGGTGGGACCCAAGTCTAGAAGTAGGAAACAGAAGCGCAGACGCAAACTTAATTCTTCCTGTGTATGTTTGAATCATGAACTTGAAAATAGCTGGTTGACCTAAGAGGCACATCTCATTATTCCTCTTATTTAATGAGCATGAGAAACACTCAGGTTTCTGTAGAGTTTTTTGCTGAACATACGTGGTTGTCTTGATTGACTTTTCCATGAGTGTGCAGGTGAATGAATAGGATAGAGTAGACCCATATGGGAAAATAATAAAAATCAGTTGGGCCTTGGCTACTGTAAAACAATATATGGAAATACAGGATGACCTGCTGACTAGACTCCTGGGCTGGAATTGTCACTGATTGGGTGAAATCATCTCAGGATAAAGGAATTCCTCATTTATTTTAAAGAAGAAGAAAAATAAAAATGCTGAGTTGCTTTTGAAAGCCGCTTGGAGACCTCAGAAGTTCTGTAGTGAGGCTGTAATAAAACCATCGGGAATTGGTAACTGATAGATGTGTAAAGCCTGAGTGGCTTGTGCTTAGTGAAAAGCCATGTGCCCTTCTGTTTCTCTTCACTGAAGTGCAGGGAATTTAAGACCGTTCGTTTGGGGCATTTCAGTAGAAAACCAGGAGAAATAGCATGAAACTAAACTATTTTACAGAAGGATCACTTGGGCTGTGACCCTTTATTATGGGCATCCTTTGCTGTGGCGCTGGCTTCGGTGCCAGATTAAAGCACTGGTGGGTTCTGTCAGTACTGGATGCTGCATTCCTTGGTATTGTGTTCTGTTAA